GTGTTAGCCTCCATGGCAAAGAGAAATTCAAGTTGCAGATGAAATTAAGGTTGCCAAGCAGCTGATTTCAAGATAAAGAGATTATCCTGGATTATGAGGGTGGGGCCAGTGAAATCACAGGTGTTCGTAAAAGTGCCAGGGAAGGCAGAAGCGGAAGGCGTCAGGATGATGTGAGGTGGGAAGGACAGGACTCACCATTGCTGACTTTGAAGGTGGAGGATGGGGCCAGGAGCCAAAGCATGTGGGCACCGTCTAGAAGCTGGAAAAGACAAGGAAACAGATTTTTTCGGGGAGCCTCCAGAAGGAATACATCCTTGCCCCTCCCCCGCCGCCCCGATTTCAGCCCAGCAAGAACCATGTTGGAATTCTGACCTCCAGAGCTGTAAGAGAATGAACGTGGGTTGTTTTAAGTTTGTTTGAGGTGAAATATTGATGGTAGCCATTAAGAAATGGATGCAGGAGCCAAGGTCTCAGGTCGGGAGAAACTGGCTGCATCAAAATAAGGTCTGGGTGGAAGCTTCTTGAGCTAACAGCATAACAAAGGGTGAAGGATGTTGAATGAGAAGCACCAAGGAGCAAGTTCCAACTGTGTGAGAGGTTGATGGCCACAGTGCGTGTACACTGAGCATCTGGTTGGCCTTGACTTTTACACAGTGATAGATGCATTTCACCAAGCTTGGGCCGGCTACTTAAAGGAACAGCATAGCCTGCTCTTTATCCCTGCTGCTAGTTTTAGGATAAGTGTGAGACCCACTGGGGATGAAGGCCACAGGTCTCATTGACGATGGGAACGCGACCCCCCCACCAAAGCTCCCAGGAGCTCTGCGCGCAAGGCTCTGATGACGGTGAGCCTCTGGCCTTGTCCCAGAAGAAGGTCACTCTGACTCCAGACCGAGCTGCTGCACTTGGACGGGATCCCCGCTCTCCAGAAAGCCCCGCGTGCCAATGGCCAGCGGCATCAATAGCAATAAAATGAATAATGACATATTTCCCACTCTGCTCATTGTTGGGGGCCGAGAAGAAAGGTCCACAAATAGGGCGCCAGTATGGAAGCTCATGAGGGAAAAGTGGACCAAAGCTGAGCAATGACTGAGGGGTTCCATTACCGCAATTAGCACACTGTATAAACAGCACTTACGGGCTCTATCTGGGAGTTTGTGGTAATCCATCTGAAATAGACAACTATTTTATGCGGGGAGGGATGAGGGGGACTATTTCCAAGTCAATTTAATAGTCTAGTCTGCAAACAATCCTCTTCCTCCTTGCTCACGCTCTCCCCTCCTCTCCCCTTCTTGGCTCAGAGCCGTGTCCCCTCCTCACAGCTGTGCTCACTTGAATGGTAAATCAAGCACCCTAAAAACCCGGCATGTGGAAATCTTTCAGCTCGGGGCTGTCTTTATCCCACGGTGGGGTTTTGCTGGGTTTCTCCTTTCTCCCTCACAGACAATCAGAACGCTGCTTGTCCCCTCCTCTGTTACTTTCCATCTTGCAAACAGACGGCGTGAGGGTTTGCAGTAGCGAAACGTGTCTCTGTGATGAGGTAAGAGGCCCCAGGAGCTTCTGACCGACGCCTTCCTGATTCTTCTCATCCTTCTGAGGGCCTGCCCGCTTGCATGTTTGTGTGCAGCTCCTGAGTCGTTCGGGGAACCTGGTGGAGGTTATGATTTTGTCATCGAGCTGGTCTCTGGGTAAAGCAGTTCTGCTCAGAGCTGGGGAAATTCCAATGACCAGACTTTAGAAATCGAAGTATTTTATACCTTTTCTAGCAACCTCTTCTCTCTCTCTTCCACCCTCCCTTCCTCCATCCTCTCTTCCTCTCTCTCTTTTCCATTTTAGGTCTTTGGGAAGAAGATGACAAATATCGTCATGAAGACACGTTATCCAAGTCAAAATACATATATAGCCTTGAGAGTGCGAATAGAGCAGGGGCACAGTTTCTCTGCTCTGTCCCCCATCTTTGTGGCCATGTAATTTGGGGTGATACACATTTTCTTCATAGAGATTTCAAAACATTGAAAATGAATGCCTGAATTTTGACCCATTGTTGGCAACTCAAAGGATATTTCTGGAGTACCAAAATGCCACACAGAGGGTGGTGGTAAAGCTGGAAATTGTTGTGACAATCAAATCCGTCCCCAAACATTACCAAATGTCTCTGGGTGGGGGGGTGAGGCGGAGCACAGTGGCCTCTGGTTGAGAGCCACTCATCACAGAATAAAGTTTTACAGCAATTCTACAAGTTCAAGGTTTCACTTCAGGGTAGTGAATTGTCTTGCCCGAGACCACCCAGACCTTAAGAGCCTAGGTTTAAGTTCATATCTCAGGCTCTTCCCATAGCTGTGCAGCCACCCCATGGAATGTTTCAGGACATTCCTCGTGGTCTAACGTGGGGGCGGCCCATCCTGGGTTCTGTCTAATGGAGACAGCACCATAGAGCTGCATTACTCAGTGCACAGAGGGCTTCTAGATCTGGCTGCGAAAGAACAACACAGCCTCTGTTATGAAGAAACCCACAACTTAAAGAAAAAAAAAAAAGGCAGGGACACGTCTGATTCATCAGGATGACTCATACCTGGGATCACTTCGCCTCTACTCGGCTCCCCGTGGCCTGTCTCGGCTTGTGAAGGGCTCCGGTGACTTGAGAAAAAGAAACTCCCTTTTTAATGTTGGGGATAGATCCACCTGTCTGGGTGCAGAGAGAGCGCAGTGCGGCCATCAAGATAGCTTTAGCGGGGACGTGGAATCAAACTGCAGAGTCCAGCGTGCAGCCCTTGGAAGGTCCTTCGAAGTTTCCAAACCTGTCCTGGCCAGCCCAGGGTGCCCCTCCACGGATGGCTCACAAACCTGGAGCAATGGCTAGCGACAGCATGCAGGGGAAGGCATTCAATAATTTCTCGGCAAGACCAGGGCTTGGGGGAAGTGGGCCTTCAGGTGCAGATACGGGTGGTAATTATCCTGGCGAAGGTGCCAGGCTGCGGAGTTCGTCCCTTTACATATGACCCATGTCGCTGCCGTGATTACATCAGGCCTCTGGGAAGCCATGTGTGCGGCCTTCTATTATCTGTTGATAGATTACTTTGCAATCACACTCATGTCGTTTTCTAGAGGACAAGAGGGTGTAATCTTCCTGCTCCGTGGGTCTCATGTTTCTTGGTGTACAGTTGATCCCCGTCCGGCCCGCTGAGTGACTGGGTTCACAGAGGAGCGGGTGAATTTCCACCAACCCCATTAGGCGTCTTTGCGCCCCTCCAGCAGACAGTTGCCCAAATTCCACCCATTAAAAAAAAAAAAAAAAGAATGGGCTAATTAAGCCTACCAGCCTAATTTTGTGCTTTCTAATTTTGCCCTTTAAATGCATCATAATTATCAGATGCAAAATACATTTTCAAATGCAGAGCCACTGACGGGTGTATTTTTATATGTGCGGGGCTAAGATGGGAGTTAGCAAAGAAGCAGGCAATATTTTTAACTTGCATCGGGACAGGAAAAGGCCAGCGCCTCACCGATTCCTGCCAGCGTGTGTGGAATGAAAACAGCACTTACCCCCTGTGTCACCGAAATGGATGCTACTGTGTGGCTGTGCCCGGGAATGCTGCCAGGTGCCACGTCCCTTGGGGTGCACTTGGACAAGGGGGGTGTGGTCACAGCTCTGGGACTCTGGGCTTCACGTTAAGACATGGGGTACATGCCTGCCCAGATGTTGCAAGAAGTCAAAGTGGATACAGGCATGAACTTGGAAGAGCTCGTGATGATGCAAGCCGTTCCCTCTTGTTATTATCTTCAAAGTTTTCAGTTGTTTTTCTTTGTCATTGATAACAGCATGCACCTAAAACCTTTGGTTACTGGGGCTTTGGGCCACAAATAATTTCCCTTCTCCCCGGTCTACCCTAAGAGGCATTGTATAATTCTATTCAAAACGAATGTTGAAAACAAGAAGTGTCATAAATAATTACCTATCGCATGACATTTAAAAGATACGACCATTCCATTCAGTGTATGCCTCATATAATGTGTAACATAAAGCATTTCAGTGGGTCCAGCATAAAAAAAACAAAACAAAACAAAACAAAACAAAACAAAAAAACAGCCATACCAGCTCATTGGCTTGGGACTCGGTACCAGGGAGTTTTTCCATCCATGAATTTCTAGCCCCCACTTCATAAAGCCCTTCTTTATACAGACGGGGAAACTGAGTTGCAGAGCAAGACAGCGCATGCTCGAGTCTGAATGGGAGAAATAAGGTGGGAACAGCATGCTCCTGGGTCTTCTCCCACTCCCCTTTGGGACAGAGAACGTCGCGAGCCCTCTGGGGGGACGCGCTCTTCCTTGGATCCTGAGGTATGGTTCCTAAGGTATGTTGGCACCTGGGTGCATGGTTGTGGACTGCACAAATGGCATCTTCCCACAAGGCTCTGCCAGCAGGGCTCCGGACGCTACTGGGCCCCATCTGGAAATCCCTTCTAAGGAGGCGTCATAAAACTGATTCAGTGAATGTCCACAGCTCCACTGTTCATAACTACCAAAAGGTGGAAAGAGCTCCAACGTCAATCAACTGGTGAGCCCACTGGTGTCGTATCCGTGCAGTGAAACATTCTTCAGGCGCACGGAAGAGAATGAAGCCCTGATACATGTTACAACACGGACGAGCCTTGAAAACATGCTACGTGAAGGAAGCTGGACACAAAAAGTCACATTTTGGGCGTCCCGAATAGGCACATCCATACAGAAAGGAAGTAGATTAGTACTTCCAGGAGCTGGGGGGCGGGGGTAGGGAAATGAGGAGTTCTGGTTTGTAGGTATGGAATTTCTTTTTGGAGATGCTGAAAATGTTCTGAAATTCGTTAGTGGTGATGGCTTCTCAACCTTGTGAATATACTAACCCCCACGAATTGTATATTTTAAAGAGTGAATTTTATGATATGTGAATTGTGTTTCTATAAAAAAATAATGGGCCCCCTTATAAAATTAAAACCTGAGACTGACTGTCATTTTACCTCTGTGCTTCCCACAGAAATGGAAAGCAAGTATTAGTCTCCAGGCCGCTTGAGTGGTTCTGAGGTCCTTTCTGAGCACCGTCCGTGGGTCGGCCAGCATGAGATGAGGGTCCACCTGAGGTAAGAGCACCAATGATCATCTAGGCTCGAGAAAGGCAAAGGTCGCATTGAGGTCACAAAGGCCAATGTAAGAAATTCAATCAGAGTGGAAATGGGTTGCCCTTGAACACAGAAGACCTCAAATCAAATCCTGACTGTGCCACTCGGAGCTGTGTGACCCTAGGCAGATTACTTAAACCCTCTGTGCTTAGATTCCCTCATCTATACACTGAGGATACTGATAGCATCTACCTTGAGGAATTCTTATGCGGATTAAATAATGAATTGTTATTTGTAAAGGGTTAGAACAGTTCCTGCTCTATGTGAGTGCTATGTGTACCTTTATTAAGATAATTTTGCAATTGTCTTGATTTTCTTTCGCCACTGTAATGACTTACCAAAAACTGAGCAGCTTGAAACAACACATGTTTATTATCTGGCAGATCTGGAGGTCAGATGTTCCAGATGTTCTGGAAGTTTGAAATGGGTCTATGGGGCTAAAGTAAAAGAGTCGGCAGGGCTATATTCTGGAGGGTCTTGGGGAGAATCTATCCCTTCCCTGTTTCGGCTTCTAGACGTTGCCCAAATTCCTTGGCTTGTTGCCCTGTGTCACTCTGACCTTTGCCTCCTTTGTCACATCTTTGACTCTGACCCCCTTGCCTCCCTCTTGTAAAGACCCTTGTGATTATGTTGGAACAACACGAATAATCCGGAACAAAGTCCCTTTTGCCACATAAGATAATATGTTCACGGGTTCTGGGTTTAGAATGTGGACATCTTTGTGTCTTTGTGGGGGAGCATCTGTCTGCCACAAGAATATATTAATTTATTGTACAGGTGCTTAGAGCTACATACACTTAGTCAGGGGGTGAGGAAATACTTGAGACACTCTGAGATTTCGATTTTGTTCAAATCTACCAAAGGGTCAGGGATCTGAGGGAGGCTGGGCTGGCTCCCCAAGGCTTAATCCCCATCATTCTAGTTGCTCTGACATCAGTGCAGGGATGAGAGAGGCATTGTTCCTCATGCAGGCATCCTCTGACCAAGAGCCCTGATGCTCTCTGTTCCCTGTGCCTGAACACAGTTCCTCGAAAGTCTTCTTCATCTGTTGGCTCAGACGTCACTTCTCAGGCTCACTCTACCATCCTATTTAAAACTGCAACTCCGCTCTAACCCAGCCTTTCCCCCATGATCCCTGCCTCCTAGTGCTCACACCTTTGTGCAAGTCTCTCCCCTCGAGGACTGGGCCTAGATTTCAATGAACTGAATATAACAAAAATGACTGGCTGTCACTTATGAGAATACAAAAGACCATGACTTCCATCTGGCACTCTCTCTTTTGCTCTTTCCTTTGCTTGATCTAATGAAGCTGGCTGCCGTGTAGCGAGCCGTCCTATGGAGAGGTCCACATGGCAGGAGCTGAGGGTGGCTTTTGGCCAACAACCCACAAGGAACTGAGTCCTGCTAACAGCCATGTAAGTGAGCTTGGAAGTGGCTCCTGCTCTCGCCGTGTGTTGGGTTGATGACAGCCCCAGCGGACATCTTGATTATATCCTCCTGAGAGACTGGGAAAGTAAGGACCCAGCGACACCATGTTGGATTCCTGAGAAACTACGAGATCATGAATGTTGTTTGGAATTGGAATGTTTTGGGGTAATTTTTTGGAGTTACAGATAACTAATATAATAGTATCATTTGGAGGCCAGCAGGCAGCATGCTAGATATATTTTGCACATAAACGTATTTGATCCTTTACAATCGGTACTATTATTCTCGCTGAGGCTCTGTAACATTGTGGCTTGACCAGCATCTCCGAGCTGGTAGGCAGCAGATCAGGTGGAAGTGACCCACGTGGTCGTGAATCAGCTGCATGGAGAGAATTCAGCCCCTGCTTGAGAATAGTGCGGTTTCCTGCAGAATAACGTGGGAATCAGATGAAGATTTGGCTGAAGGCTCCTTGGGGTTGCCCATGGCCTCCTCTCATGAGCAACTCTCCCTGGTCTTGTAACTTGCCCATGTAAGAACTAATCAAGGACTGGGTTTTCTAGGCATTTTCCTTGGAATCTTACATCAGGTCTTCGAGGTAGCCATCAAGGGTTGAGAATGGGTACTTCAGACTCCCATCTTCTCTCCCTGAAGCCATCTAGAGGGTGAGTATGAAAGTCTACACTGCCTTAGAGGTCTCCAGGAGGTGTGTTTTTCTCAGGAGAGACCTTTAGGAGCCCCTGGAAGCTAGCTAAGGAGGAAGAGAACGCAGGGAGTTCTTTTCTGCCTAAATTTATGCAAATCAGCGGTTTGTCCTCTAAACATGATTTTTATCTCAGTTTCCTTTTGTAGCTGATTGAGCGATTGGAAGCAAGCACCACAGTGGTGACCCCAATCTGAACTCTGCCCCTCTAAACCCATCTGCTTCTGCTAAACCTTGCTACCTTGACCCCACCACCATTTTCCAGTGAAGGATCCCAAAGGTCCCAGTCCACTTGGCTCCCTGGCCAGTCCTGAGAATGCTCTCCCACCTTGTTCTGAGAATCCTACTTGTCTTTGCTCCGAAACTGATGTCCATTCACTAACTGAGACTTTCTTGGAGGTAAAAAGCAGAGGCCACGCTCCTTAGCCCTCTGGAAAATGAAGTACACTGCTGATTAGGCTGGTTTTCATCTGCACAGAGTCCGGATGTTGACATCTGCAAGGTTTGGGTGAACACCAAGTCCTACCGTTTCATGTTACAGACAAGAAACTGAGGCCAGAGAAAGGAAGGGATTTGCCTACGATGACCTAGTTGGCTGCTCAAATGGCATATCTTGAGGGCTGCAGACACATAAGGATTGGAACATCCTGCTACAAAGCTCAGAAGGCTCACTCCACCACACCAATGACTGTACGGCAGCTAAAAGCGATTCTTAGGTTCTCTGGCACTTTATAAGTGTTATTTCCATCTTCGTAAAAAAGTCTAAGGCCACAGCGGTTCCTTCCTTCCTTCCTTCCTTCCTTCCTTCCTTCCTTCCTTCCTTCCTTCCTTCCCTTTCTCTCTCTCTTTCTCTCTCTCTCTCTCTCTCCCTCTCTCTCCTCTTAAAGAAGTTACTGACCTACTTAAAGATTCTGATGAAATATAAAACTCATTCCTTTGTAAAAAAAAATACATATACCAAAAATTATATTACGTTTTAAGGGCTCCTTAAGGATCTGTGGACTCCAGGCTGAAAGCACCTGCTTTTAAGTTAAGAATTGTTATTTCCCCCAAACAGCAAATGGGCAAACAGAAGCTCAGAGAAGTTATGTGCTCTGTCCGTGCACAGTGTGGCAACTTAGGCCCTTAAATACAGATTGGTTGAGTGCCAAAGCTCCAGTTGGTTCCTTCCTCCAGAATACACTGAGATGAAATACCATGGATTCTGGAACACAAATGTTCACTTATTCTTTACCCAATCAATATGGCGTTTGTTTGTTTGTTTGTTTGTTTTGTGTTAAAGCCTCTACTGAGTGCCTGGCATTGGAATAAGAAATGGTGCCTTGGAACTTACACAAAGTTTTGCATAGCTGGCTTTCCTCTCTGCAAGGGAGAGCCTTCAACCTGGACCTCATGGCCGGCCTTCCCGTGATGTGTTCTTTTGATCGGAGTGGATGTAGAGGTCCCCAGTGAAGGGGATGAGGCAGATGCCCTACAGAGGGCTTCCCTGGTTGAACAGAGCAGCAGTCGAAGAACAAAATCAGCCAGCGACCAAATGCATTCCATTGAATTTGATATGCAGTGTGTCCAGATCCTATGGGGCACATTCCATCCTGTTGGTTTTAGGATTAAGAATTTAGGTTTGATATCAGAGTGATGCTATATGGTTTGATAGGCTCCCTGTCCTGCCTTCTTTAGAGGCGCTGGGGCTGGAAACCACATGTTCCGTGGAGGACCCTTCCCACCATGGTCATGGGGATCCAAGTGATGCCTGGTTAAAGTAAAGGGGAAAGAAGCAGTGGTGGTAATGGGGGTCACCGGGAGGAGACTCCGTCTGATAAGCGAAAGAGACAGTTTAGAACAGAGCCAGTTGGCTGGCCTGGTTTGTATAGTTGATGCCGGATGACTGTCCTCACTTCGATTTTTGCCTAATTCAGTGGCTTCTCCCCAGTCTCTGTAACAGCTTGAGTTTCTCCTGAATCTGGTCCCAGGATACTTTCCCTGATTTCTGGCTACTAGGTTTTCCTCTGCCTTGTCCTCTAAGCTGCTGAGTTTCTTTTAGAGACTCTTTAGTAGTCTAAAGATGACTGGAGAGACTTCCTGATGGCTCCATTGAATGGAGCTCTGGAGATCATCCCCTGTGGAGAAGTACCATCAGAAGAGGGAATGGGGGGCAGGTATGGGTGTGGAAAAGAGCACAGGAGGCTGACTGAGGTCCAGTGGTCAATGCACGGATGATCTTAAAGCAAGAAGAGTGGATGGTGGACATAATCCTTGGCCTTCCCCTTGGATTTGCTCACTCAGAGAGACCCCTAACTCTCCTGTTAGTGAGTCCCTCGAGTTCCAATCCTGCCTCGGCCACCATGTCTATGTGATATTGAACAGGTCCTTCTCCTTTCGGGGACCCAGGTTCTCCATCTTTTCCGTGGCTGGGACCATGTGATTTCCCCAGGGCTTCCTGCCCCCCCAAATCTAGACTTTTATTTGTTTGAGAAAACATCCAAAATGAGATTCTTAAACGGAAGTATAATTTGCATACAGTGAAATGCTCGTGACTTTGCTGTTGAGTCAGTTTTGACAAACACATATGCTTGTGTAACTTCACTGACCCCAAGTGGGACACAGAATGTTTCCATCCCCACAAAAAGTTCCCTTGTCCCATTTTCCAGTCAATTCTCTACCTCAGAAGCAACCACCGATCTGATTTCTATCACTGTAGGTTAGTTTTGCATATTCTAGAATTTCATATAAATGGAATTGTACACTATGTACTTTTGTGTCTGACTTCACTCAGCACATTGTTTTTGAGATTCATCTACAAAATAGATTTCTTCTCTTTCTTTCTTTCTTTCTTTCTTTCTTTCTTTCTTTCTTTCTTTCTTTCTTTCTTTCTTTCTTTCTTTCTTCCTGAGTAATATTCTATTATATGAATATATTGCAATTTGTTCATCCATTTTCCGGTTGATGGACATGCTCTTTTCCCAGTGTTTGGTTGTTATGAGTAAAGCCACCATGAACGTTTACTACGCAAGGCTTTTCGTGGATTTATGTATTTATTTCTCTCGAACAAACATCTAGGAATAGAATTGCTGTGTCATTAGGCAGATGTGAATGTAACTTTTTAAGAAACTGTTAAATGGTTTTCCCAAGTGGGTGTTACCTTTTTAATTCCCACCAACAATGTATAAGCATTCTTTTTGCTCCACATTCTCTCCATCATTTGATGGTATCTGTCTTCCTCTCCTTAGACCTTCTAGGGAGTATATCATGGCTCACAATTATTTTTACACACATTTTTATTTATTTTTTTGTTTCCTTTTACCACTGAGCCAAAAGCAACTTATTATCAGGACCCTGTTAAAGGATCAAAGATACTTCAAATGATTGTTAAACATCCACATTTTTTAAAAATATTTATTTATTTGGGGGAGAGTGCAAGCAGGGGAGGGACAGAGAAAGGGGAACAGGGAATCTGAAGTGGGCTACGCAATGACAGGCTGACAGCAGCAAGCCCAATGTGGGGCTCAAACTTATGAACTGTGAGATCATGACCTGCGCTGAAGTCAAATGCTCAACCGACTGAGCCCCCCCAGGAGCCCCTAAATAGCCACATTCTTTTGCAGATGGTTGGCCTGCCAAATCATGCCTCCTTTACTGACTCTTTTCATTCCAGATAATTGCATTCCATTTCTTTTCATAAATACGTATCAATTGCCAAATATGTGTAAGTCTCTGGTACTAGATTCCTATCAAGATGGTAAAGAAAAATAAGACTGGATTGTGCTCTCAAGGGCATTATGGGAGAGGCAGAACCTTATACCTAAACTCTACATTGCCACTCCAATGTAGCCTGGGGGGTGGGGGTTATGTCCCAATAGAAGAGACCAATGTTTTGAGGAGCCTATATAGGGAAAAATAATTGCCACTGTCTCAGTCAAGGAAGGAGAGAGATTGGTTTTTGAAAATCTGTATGTAAAGCAATACCAGAAGGAAAGTGGGCAGGGAGGTTAAAACCTGGTTGTACTGGGGCGCCTGGGTGGCTTAGTCGGTTAAGCGTCCGACTTTCGCTTAGGTCATGATCTCGCAGTTCGTGGGTTCGAGCCCCGCGTCGGGCTCTGTGCTGACTGCCAGCTCAGAGCCTGGAGCCNCTTCCATTTTACAAGAGAAAAATTACACCTTTCTCACATCACAATTCAAACTAGGACTCACTGCCCTGGGGCAAAAAACATAAACAAAAAAATGTCTTTGTACCAAAGATGATCTATCAAAATATTGCTTTCAGGAAAATCTTTTAAAAGAGTCATCAAAGGGGCGCCTGGGTGGCTTAGTCGGTTAAGTGTCCGACTTTCGCTTAGGTCATGATCTCGCGGTTCATGGGTTTGAGCCCGGCGTGGGGCTCTGTGCTGACTGCCAGCTCAGAGCCTGGAGCCTACTTCAGAGTCTGTGTCTCCCTCTCTCTCTGACCCTCCCCTGCTCACGCTCTCTCTCTCTCTCTCTCTCTCTCCTAGAAATAAAAAATATATATATTGAAAAAAAACCTGGTTGTACCTCCCTAGCTTCCCAACTTGGCATGCAGTAGGCATCCTTGAGACACGGGCACACTTAAAGAGTGATTAGTGGAGATTAGGAAGCCAGCCCAGTGAGTTTAAGGAGTGCGCTGACAAGCTGGTATCAGTGAGAATGTGCTGGAGAACGTGCCTAAAATGGGCAGTGGCATCGCCGGGGCTGAGTGCAGAGCATTAAGATGAGGAGGTGGCAGCTGGGCTTCCTCCCTCAGGTCTCGACCTGGGAAAGCATGTCCAGTGTCCGAGAGATGGATGCTTAGGCCTTCCTTGCAGGCAATCTCACCAATACCCAAACTTGAGCTTCATCTTCCCTGGGAGGCCAGTGATCTCCTGGGCCCCAGGGGAGTAATGGTCCTTACAACACCATGATGGGCCCACCCTGGCTGGGGAAGAGCTGGATAAGGCTGATTAAGTTTTCCTTCTCTGCTCTGGCTGGAGTAGCCCCACTAGAAAAATCCCACATCATTCTGTGGGGGCTGGACAGATTGCTAGAGGTCTGCAGAAGTTTGAGAGCGCTCATACCTCTGGCCTGCTGAGCTGTGCAGACACACTATCAGTTTTCCCAAGGTTCTTTCTGAACAGTAGTGCATGTGCTCTATGTGTGTGTGTGTGTGTGTGTGTGTGTGTGCGCGCACGCACATGCGGATTCTCCAGATTCTGTAGCTGGAGGCTCTCGCAGTTCGCGGTGAGTGCAATCTGTTAGGCTTTGCTCCTGTAGCTCGTGATAATGGTCTCTTTGCTGCTGGACATCACCCAGTGGCTCTTTTCCTGTAAAGTGTGGACTTGCTTCTGAGGAGGAGGAGGAGAAAAGCAGAGAATGAGAGATCACATGCAGGGTGTGGCAAAATTAATTGAACTGCCACTGGGTTTAGAGGATGGGAGTGAAGATATTCTGATTAGATTTCCAGGCCGCCTGTGTCAGAAATGATCCCAGGGCAGATCCTCCTGAGAACAACTGGAAAGGACCCTGTAGTCCTCAGAGCCCACGAAGAGAAAGGACTTGAGCCGTAAAACCTCCCACATCCCTCCAAAATCCCATGCTAAAGAATGCTTCTCTCTAGGCTAAATAGGAGCCAACTGGGTAGTCTGTTATGGGTATGGAAGGGTAAACACACCCAAAGTGAAAACTTTACATGTCGTTATGAATGGCAAGGCAGAATCTCGACACATGTGGATCAGAATAGCTTGTTAAAAAGGAAGCATTGGGATGCCTAGATGGCTCAGTCAGTTAAGTGTCTGACTTGGGCTGAGGTCATGACCTCACGGTTTGTGAGTTCAAGCCCTGTGTCAGGCTCTGTGCTGACAGCGCAGAGCCTGGAGCCTGCTTCAGATTCTGTGTCTCCCTCTCTCTCTGCTCCTCTCCTAGTCTCTGTCTCTCTCTCTGTCAAAAATAAACATTAAAAAAATTTAAAAAGGAAGTGTACATGGCAGCCTCCTATACTAGGACGATATGACTCAACTAACCACAGATCATGACATCAGGTGAAAAAAGTCACGTGACTCTGCAGGAGACAGACCCATCCAACTCTTCTCCCTGAGATGTGTTTCCACTCAAGCCATGAAAGAATCCAGGGCATCATGGACCCAAACCTTTTGTCCCACTTGCCACACAGGGGCATAGAGATTTGTCCACGCTTGGCTCTTCCTCCGTGACCTATTGAGGGAGCACTGCTGAACGCATGGTGACCTCCTCACCTTTTCCAGTGATGGTCCCGTGTCAACAGGCAGAAGATTATCCTGAACGAGCAAATGGCCACGTGTTCACCTAGCTTGCACTGTTTACCCTTAACCTAAGCCCACGAGGTGGGTAACAGATTTTCCAGAGAGGAGTTCAAATCCTTCCACCGGCATTGTCCAGCTGCGGGCCTGGCAGCAAGTTTTACTTAATCCCTCGAAGTCTCCTTGTTTTTGTGCAGAAAATGGGGAAGACAAGTGGATTATTATGAGAATGACCAAAAAGAACGTATGCCAAGCTCTCACTACAGTGCGTCATGTGTGCTCTGTAAATAATTCAACTGTTGTCGTTATGATCATCGCCATGAATCAGCAGGACTCCGTCTTCAGATGTCCTATTGGCACTTCGCGCTTCTGTGTTTGGCCTTGATGGCATTTCTTGATGTTGACATCATGAGATGGTGGGAGACAGACTGACTCACAGAGAATACTTTCCTTCTCATCGTCAACTAACAGAAACGGCAGCCTCCCTGAGATCCCATCTGTGTCCGTCACCGCTAACAAGTGTGGTTGGCTGCAGGCATTTTGAGGGTGTGCACAGAAAGAAGGGGAAGACACTAAGCACAGAAGTCTCACTCATTCTTATAAATGTGTAGCATACATTATGCGCCATATGTTTTGCTCTTCTGAAATGTGTTAGATCTAAGCTGAAAGTCTGACTTTGGTCTCTGGCCCAAAGCAGCTACCAAAAAGGGGCTATGACCTCATTCTCTAATCTTGCAGTCTCAATAAGAAACCTCATTTTTCAATTTAGTGAAACCCAAGAAGCGATTATGTGTAAGAATCCAGGGAAGGGCCCATTCTATTCACACTTGTTACCACATCCAAAACAAACACAGTGATGCCTATTAACATCCAGGGTGTCAACTTGGGTGGGGGTCCTTGGAAAGCCAGAGGTCTCCCTTGGCAGCTTCTGTCAAGGCTGACTACACTTAACTTGTCAGGAAAGGTTGAGAGATTTACCAATTTAAATCCCTCCCATGGCCTTCTGGTCTACTGTTGTTCTCTGACCTACCACAGACCAAAACAATCATTCTGGTTGTCAAATTCAAGGTTGGCCATTGTGCAAGAGCCCCGTATTACTCAGGAAAGATCTTCAGAAATGATTACGACAAATCCTGTTATTGGTTCCTTTTGTACAGAACTTTTCTCAGCCCTCTGTCCTATATGTCTTTCCCTTTAAGATTTCACAGTGTTTTATTTGAAATAAAGGGAGTTGCTCTAGATTCCTAAAGTGCTATCTGGGCTTGGTTTCACATTTCTTTTTCAAAGAGACAATAATTGTGGGATTCAATTTGTTGCCAGGGACTGTACAAGATACTTACTATATTGGAGGGATTTCTTTTTATCATCATGGTAACCTGGAAAAAAAAAAAGTGATATCCATGAAGAAACTGAGGTTTGGAGAACTAATTGAACTTGTCTAAGGTCACACAAATAGTAACCAGTGGAGACACAATTAAAAACCTTTTAGAGCTTAATCCAAATTCCACACATTGCATTACCCTTTTTTTTTTTTTTTAACACCTCTGGGATTTTGTTTCCTAGTTCCAACTCTGAGCAAGTTTTTCCATGGTAGACAATAGAGTCAGGGAAAAGTTGTAGTGGTAATCCAGCAGGAAGAAGAATGCCTCCTGCCTCTTTATAGGTTGAGAAGACATTTGCTGGGCCAGAAATTAGATAATACCTACTCCTCATCAAAGAGGGGAGATGTGGGGAAAACAGCCTGTAGTTGTGAAAGCTAATGTTCTGTATCTTAAAAACACAAGATCAACTCAATTCTAGCACAGAATGTAAGAATTTCCTTCTAGGTGCACCCAGAGACTACTGACCGCATCTCAAAGAGTGAGGGGTTCTACTAAAATAATCATGCATTGGTATTCTGGTAGACCCTGAGTTTCCAGAATTCTCCTGCTCACTGTAGACACGGTCCCCAAGTCTTCTGTTGGTAACATGAAGAGTCTCCCTTGGGTCTTAAAGTTAGCTGCGCCAAATCTGGGTCGCTTCTGCCCAGAAGAGACTGTTCCCAGTTGGGATCGGTGTGGTTGGTTCTTGGCCAACAGGAGTTGTTGAGAGATTTGCTAGTTCCAGAATCTGGAATGGCTGCCTAGTAATCGCATTTCATTATGCAAGACTAGATCGTCAAGCATCTTTGAGGTACCCTGGGCTTTGTTTTAGGTACCAGCATATAATTTGGAAGTATAAATAATGCAAATTTCCCTTTTGGAAATCTTAACTAGTCCACTGTTGTACCTAATGGAGGCTGTTCCTTTGCTGCTTGGGAAATAAGTTTTCCTCTCTGCACTGGAGTTGTAGGTAACCAACGAATCGTTCTTGCCCCAGCAGACAGCGTTTGGCCCTAAGCAATCTGTGAATAATTAAGCAACAAACACAGCTGCAAGTTCTAAAATGTTCAACATTTAATACATGTTAAGTAACATTTCTTCCTCCCATTGGAGAGGGCGGGGGCTAGACAAAATAATTATCGAGATTCAGTCCCTCTTTCCTCAAACTCATTTTGAATGATTACTCTGTTCACAGACCAGCGTTTAAGAACTGCCCCCTCTACCAATCAGGGCCATGGGCTCAGTGAAACTTTACCATTGCAAAGTCCCAGATCTGTAAAGAGAGCGAGAAAGCTGTCTGTACAAGCAAAGTGGATTACTGCAAGAACAGGGTTCTGTATCTCACTTGCCCAATGTCTGCTGGGAGACTGTGGGTGGACCCCAGTGTATCTGTCTCATGTTCTTTCCCTGTGAAGCAGCAAGATTGACTTAACTGATTTCGAAGACCCCTTTAGAGCTAACGTTGGATATATGTACGCCAAAGCACAGAAAAGCCTGGCGTTGTTTCCAAATGCAATGGGGATGGGCAGGAGGTGAAGGAGTGGCCAAGAGCCAGCATTGCATCAGAGACCTGGGTGCAAATTTTGCCTCTTACGTGCTGAGTAATCTTGAGTTCTATCTCTCTAAACCTCCACGTTTCTTTTTGTAAGAAAATACTTACGAATACTGCATCCCTCAAAGATAGAAGCGAGCATTAACTGTGATAACTATAAGGCCCTTGGTACAGTTTTGAGGCAGAATCGACGCTCAGTTGCTGACTCTGAAAATCAGAATTTGAAAAGAAATGTCTGGCATTACCTGTATTCTGGATGTTTGTCTCCAGAGGCTTTCTTCTTCGATCTGTCCATCCATGTCCCTCTTGTTGGCTGGCTTCTTAACTCCTTCTGCACCCCTCACATCTGTCCTTTGTCTGAAAAAGCAGTTCCAGTTTATTTGCCAATTGTTCAGAGAAGGGCTAAGTTATCTCTGTAGTCTGCAGAATTCAGGGCCTGCCTTTTGCTGGAAATTATTAGGGGGGCTTGTTTGTTACCCATACGTGCTAGCCTCAAGCTGGTCTTCCCGCTTGCCAGTCCATTCGACACACGGTAGCCAGATGATCAGATCCATCCGCAAGTACAAATCTCTGGAGTAGCCCTGCTTGTCTCAGACACTGCCATTTTACCAGACCCACGTTATAGCTCTAGTTTCTGCGAGGATAAGCTTTCTCCCATCCCTAAAAAAACAGTATGTTCCTTTGTGCATCAGGACCGTTGAGATGATGCCTCTGCCACCTGAAACGTAGTACCCTCCAAGTAGATCTTTGCTCCCCATCCACAGCCCAGCTCAAAAGCCTCTTTCTCAAGGAAGCACTCCTTGATGCTTATTATCTCTCACTCCGTTTAAGACAAGATCATAACTTCTTGGTAAATGTGTTTGTAAGAAGCCTACATTCTGCAACATCCTTTTTTTTAAAGCAATAATTGCAATGGAAATTTAGCCATTATTGGTACAACTCATAAATTGATGTCTATCCTGTCTTCCTCCCTATGTAAATCCTAGGCTCAGACTGTGACTATCCTTTCCACTACTGCATTCCTACTACACAGTACAATGTCTAGCACATAGTAGGTGTTCAATAACATTTAGCGAATGAATGACTGGCTATTTGAATGAAGATGTGCGCAGACAAATTGAAAATAGTTCGCCCTGCATTGCAAGACGTGGAGTTGGATGCTCATAAATTATGTAAAGAGTTAGACATTTGACAGGAAGGCTCCAGGATGTACAGTTGTTGAAATGTCACCTTTAAGACGTGGGTATTGATTTACAGTTGGCATTCCTGAGTACATAGGATTCTGTACTAGCAAGGGAAAAAAATCCAATTTCTGAATCTCGGTGAAGGAGAAGACTAAGTCAGGTTTGGTATCATCTGTCGGAAGGGAAAGTTGTGGTGTGTGTGTGTGCGCGCGCGCGTGTGTGTGTATATGTTCATTGAAGGGTTGAACACTGCCTGGCATTCTTGGTGGTAAGAAAAAGGTTTAACACATTTTATTTTCATCAGAGAGGAGTTTTGCCTATTTTAATACATCCCCTGAGTGTTATCACAGAGTAGTACTCTTGTATCTGGCTGCCTGTGCTCAGGATAGGTTTGGAGTTGCACCCGTGTTGTGGTGCGTACTAGTCATTTGCTACTTTTTACTGTTGTGTAGTATTCCAGGGGATGGCTATATCACAAATGGTTAATCCATTTCATTTGATGGGCTTCTGTGCTATCTATAGTTACTCATACTCTTAATGAAGACTTTTTAATCAACATTCTTGTGCCAGGCTTATTGTATATGTAAACTGTCATATCCTTCGGGTAAACACCTATGAGTGGTATTGCTGGGTCTCGGGTAGGGGTATATTGACTTCTGCGATCCCCGGACTGATTCTGAGTGTATTTTTTTTTTTTTTTTTGCCATTTTGCATTCCAGTTTCATCTCAGCCCCTGGTGTTGGTGATCTCTTATCGTAGCCATCCTGGTGGACGCATCATATTATCTCACAGTTTTAAATTGTGTTTTCCTGATAACTAATATGGAACTTTTCTTCATGTGATTATTGACTATTTGACAATTTTCTTTCTTACATTCCTGTTCTTTTGTCCATTTTATTGTAAACGGAGTCATTCATCCTTTAAACACTGAGTGTTAGAGGTTCTGCATATATTTATATATTTTGAATATGAGTCTCAATCAAATATATGTATCGCAACAATTTTCTCCAAGTCTGTGACTCGCCTGTTCACTTCTTAAAGATGTCTTTTGAAGGGCATGTGCCTTCTGTTTAGAAAGTCCTTTTTCATTAATTTTTTCCTTCATGGGAAAAATTTTGTGTTCTAAGTTTTGTGTTCTAAAAAACCTTTGCTCACTTCAATGTAAAGATGTCCTGTTAGTTTCATGATAGAAGCTTTGTGGTATTTGCTTTTATGTTTGGATCTATGAATCATCCCCTCAAATTGATTTTTGAATATGGTATAAGGTATGAATCAAGGCTCTTTTTTTTTTTTTTGTTCCATATAGATATGTCTTTTTCCTCCACTGAATGGCTTTGGTCCCTTAGTTGAAAGTTAATTGAACCATTTCTAATTATTTGACAGTTAACTACATTCTTTAGTTTATTTGCAACTGTAGGGCAGAAATATATAATGATTCACAACTGTATCTCTCTTCCCAAACTCTGCATTCAGGAATATCGGGTTGTAGCTTGAAATCGGCCTTGATGGGAATACTTACACTATGGAAATAGGGTAACACTGCAGATCAAGGCTTAATCCATTGTTATTTTGATTCTCCAAGATTCAAAATGTATTGGGAACAATGTTAATTATGTAGCTTCACCTTAAAATTGTACCATGCGCACAGCTATGAGGCTGTGAATAGCACCCAAATTTGAGGAAAACTTGTTTCAGTCTTTGAAAGCTATTATCCAAGTCAGCAAAGAAGTCGCACACATCATTAATGAATAGATGCTTCGTTTCACCTTCATCTCACCCATTAATGTAATCACAAATATCCACAAACATGCAGTGGGAACTATCTGCACTGTTTATGGCAACCGTAGGTGGGGCTGAGATGTAAGTGTTCAACAAAAATACCAACAAAAGCATTTTGGAGAATTAATGGGCTATATGGAATCTATTTTAAAAAGAGTAGTAACTATTTCTTTTTTTTTTTTTAATATATTTATTTATTTCTAGGAGAGAGAGAGAGAGCGTGAGCAGGGGAGAGTCAGAGAGAGAGAGGGAGTCACAGACTGAAACAGGCTCCAGGCTCCGAGCTGGCAGTCAGCACAGAGCCCGACGCGGGGCTCGAACCCACGAACCGAGAGATCATGACCTAAGCGAAAGTCGGACGCTTAACCGACTAAGCCACCCAGGCGCCCCATCTTTTTTTAATTAAAAAAAAAAAAATTGAGACAGAGAGAGACAGAGCATGAGTGGGGGAGGGGCAGAGAGAGAGGGAGACACCGAATCTGGAACAGGCTCCAGGCTCTGAGCTGTCAGCACAGAACCCGACGCGGGGCTCGAACCCACGAACCGCGAGATCATGACCTGAGCCGAAGCCGAACGCTCAATTGACTGAGCCACCCAGGGGCCCCGAGCATTAACTATTTCATTATTATTTGTAAATGCTATGCTTTATATTCCTTGTATCAGCAACATTTGTAATAAATGGGTGCGTGTACAGATACTCATGCTTTCTCTCTCTTCCCACCTTGAGAGCCAGCTGTTAAACATTTACCAGCAGCACAGCACTGCCTAACTTACAGTGTTGTGAAGAATAAGTAGACTGAGATCCATGAAACTGCTTGAGTGTTGCTGGATTTCCATGAGGTCATGTTCAAGGTCTCGGCCAGTTTGGAGAAAAATGAAGGGAAAGCTTTATGGGGAAAGGGCTCTGAGGGCTTTGCAGGAGGAAGAAAGACTACTTGTCCCACCAGTACAGCCCACGCTCAAGGTTCAGCCTCAGGAGAAGCACACAAGTGGGAAACCAATCTTGGGAATGGTCCTCCCTCCAGGTAGGACAGCCTGACTGCAGGTCAAGGCCAGTGGTGGGGAAAAGTTGGATTGGCACAATTTTGTGAGTACCCTTGAATTCCAAACTGTAGAGTACAAACTCCTGCTTGAAATAGCAGGCAGTAGGGAGCCACTGAAGCTCTTTGAGTCAGGGAATCACATGACTGGAGTTGTGTTTTCTGACAGTTAACCCAGCAGCGTGGGGTAAAACCAGAGAAGGGTTGAAGTTAGAAGTCAGGTTACCACTTTAAAATATGGATGAAAACAGGTGCCATGAGCCCAAACTAAGCCAGTGGCCGTTGGAAGAGAAAGAATGTGAGTGATGGAAGAGACAGACCTAGGGTCGAAGTGACAGCACTTGGAAAAATAATACTACTTAAAAAAAAAAGCTTTTTATTTTTAAACTTTCTTTTAATATATAAGTTTTCTTTTTCACAGAGGTTTGGGAATGTGGGGAGGTGTCAATGAATCAGAAAGGTATTAAACAAAGAGACTGAGGTGCTAAAAGCACTCAGGAATTTTTACACCAAACCCTCATTTATCTTCATTTGTGGGGTTTGGGGCGATTGAGAGATTTTACTCCCGTGAATACGTATATATTTTAATTAATGTACGTTTTAACACTTATTTACTATTTACTTCCTAAGGGCTTGCTATTTAATAAAAGGAATAAAATAAAGTCTTGTGTGTTTTTTTTTAAACCAGAAATATTTAAAGAATGCTCTCTGTTTGCCTTTGAGTGCATTCTGGCAAGGTGACTTTAGGCCATAAAGACTTGAGTGTTTGGGTCATGTTCTGTCACAGAGCTTTGTCTTGTTTATTTGGAATACTGAGGAGACATTGTAGAGACCACTTAATTCTCAGGAGCCAACTGAAACCAGCCAAACATAATTCTTAAGAAAGAAATGCATTCTTCTAAAAAATGATATTTTTGGGGGGAAACTATAATGTATAGAATATTCTAGAAGTTCTTAAAGTTTGTTTAGGGTAAAATAATTCTGAAGAGAAGATTCTCACAGACGGTACATATTCCATGGACTCAAGAGAATGGGTGAGGGCCAAGAGAAGGCATGTCTGTTCTTTCCAAATCAGGTTGTATTATTTTATTATTTTATGTATTCATTTATTAATTTTAGAGAGAGAGAGAGAGAGTGCGAGAGCAGGTGGAGGAGGGGCAGAGGGAGAGAGAGAGAATCTCAAGCAGGCTCCACGCTCAGTGAGGAGCACAATGGAGGGCTCTATCCCACGACCCTGGCTGGGATCATGACCTGAGCCAATATCAAGAGTCAAACGCTCAACTGACTGAGCCACCCAGGCGCCCCAGATTGCATTGTTTTAAATCACCTTTTTGC